TTCGAGAATTGCTTCAAACACATGCAAAAGTGTATTGATCATCATGGAGAATATTTTAAAACCAATTTCAATCATAAATATTTGTATTTTCATTATTAGGCCAGAAATATAAGTAGCAACCCTCGTAATACTTCGTAATACCTCGTAATACTACCTCGTAATAGTGTTTTTCATTTATTGTTACATGATATAAAACATGTTTTGAATAATATAAAGCAGAAATAGTAAGAAAAAGAATCAAGTTGAAATGTTGATTATTGTGATCCTGCATTGTCAAAAAATTGTCAATCAAACATTTAAGTGAGTATTTATTTCTTGCGTATAGGTGAGATTTTAAGAATTATATTGATTATTTCGAAAACGCAATATATCACATATTAGAATGTAAATATTGGTCGCGATAAATCACATTCGATGTTAATAAATGTATTTAAGTAAGGAAAAATTACTTACCAATTATCCTTTTTTCAACAAATTCGTAACTTTATACCGCGTGAAAATTCAATTCTTCTTCGTTACTCCTGTTACCCGTGTCCGGACGAGGTGACTTTTCTCATATGCCTGTGGTGCGCACGTGGAATATACACAGGTATGTGGGATCTACAGTTTATCGACGGTTCCGAACGGCACTATTTTAGAGAGGTTCTCTTGACAAGGATACTCTCGGTAATTTGCCATTGCTTTCCGAGAGGAGACGTGAGCGTAAATATTTTGGCTTTTACCGAGATCAAACCCTGGACCGCTGGCATAGTAGACCAGTGCGCTACAGGCTATGGGAAAAAGTGTTTGCCACGCTGATTCTCAAGCTGAAAATTCAATACATTTTGATTATTCTAAAATTAATTTTTCTAATGCCTTTTTGCTCTTAAAGCAATTAAAAAAGTATTATTTTATTGAAAAAAGCAAGAAACAGAAAACTTAGGAAAAGAAAAAAGCAAGAAATAGAAAACTTAGGAAAAGAATGATAACATTGTGACGTGGTAGCTCGAAGCGCCCGTTACAAGGGCGGCGACCTTGGAAAGGGCCCTATCGCGAATAGCGTGGCGCGCTCCTCGGGAGCGTCTGTTGAAGTTGGCAAGTTTGTTTTTATATGTAAAACAGCGGAGACCGCGCGCAGCGGGCGCGCGGGGATTGTCAAAGTTAGCCCCGCGTCCCATTCATATGTGTGGCCCTGCTCTGGATGGCGGCTAGAAGCGGACGAGGTGTTAACCGCCGGGTGGAGGAGTAGAAGCCGCCCGAACCTACTGCCGGATCCCGGTGGATTCGCCTGATTCTGGTCTTTGTCGGCTATCGGGGAGACGCTAACGGCATCGCCTAGGCTGCCGTGTTCCGTTCCCTCGGCAGCGGTAGAGCCGACGGGCCGAGGACGCGCACAGAGGACGAGTGGTATGCCAAGGCTACGGCAGCGATCGGAGCAGGAAGTGAGACGGTGGGCCACAAAGGCGAATCGGCACCCGTCGAAAAAGCTCCGGCTGCCGAGGAGGGACGGATGTCGAAGCCACAAGGGAAGGGAGACCTGTTTAAAATCGGCTCCTTCAGGGGCCGTAACGTTGTGCCTGCTCTTCTGCGGGCACGCCTACGGTACGGGAATGACGACCCCGGGGTACTCAGTCAGATGCCGACTCGTGTTGCTACGCAATGCAGCGGATTTTTAGGTTCTGAGTCCTTTCGGGGACGTTGAATGATGACAGAATCCTCTAAATATGAGAGGGCTACGGCCCTCCGAAATGAGTACTTTGTCTACGTCGTTGGCATAAAGAGACTACAGTCTCTGATGATTAGTGAACACTCACTCTCGAACGACTTTCTGTCTCTAAGCCTGAAGGTGCCCGGAGGCACCTTTTTCCCTTGCGTAAAGGAATGACGACAGAACCTTGAACATATATGAGAGAAGCATGGCCTCTCAATGATTAAAAATGCCCGTTGAACATTACCTTGTCATCGGCATGAAGAAACCGCTGGCGGCTTCTCATGATGCGATAGACATCGACATAGTGGGCATGAGGAGACCGCACCCCCTGCCTCCGATGATTAAACGTCCAAAGGGTGTTCACCCGCCAACGACAGTCTCGTATAATGAGGATGCTTCGGAGGCCGATGATTACACAAGACATCATACAGATAGGGAAAAGTCCTGTCATTTCAGAGCAATCCGAAAAGCATCCTGCGCTGCACTAGTGGCGCATTTGCATGTAACCCGTCGGAAAACCGGAACGGTTGGTGGGCAACACCCTTAATTCGATTACCCGTCTAGGACCGGCAGTTAAACCTTTGAACGTGGGAGTGAAGTCCGGCTTACGCTCAAGCATAAGCTCGGATGAGAGTCAAACGTTTAATGGAAAAAGATTGGTACACATCGGAGTCGGAGCGCAAGCCAATCTTCCTCTATCGGAAGATGCTCCGGCGTGTGCGGTAGAAGATGAGTCGGTTCGCTTGGATGGAATTGGGCTCACCTCGGCCCTCGTAGTCGACAGGTCATTGCGGTGGATTAGAAGCCACGCGACCTGCGCCACTGGCGTCGTCAAGGCTGGCAGCTGGTGCACACTGTGTGTCTTCGGGCTGGTGGGCGTCACCAACAGTTTCGATGAACAAGGACCTACGAGCCGTAACGGTAACTTAGATCGTGGATGGCGCGCGTCGTCTGTAGCCTAATGGCTGTGGTCGCATGCCGCGGCACGCTACGCGTGCTGTCGGCTCACACTAGTCTGCTTAAAATCAGCAGGTCGCTTCGAAAGAAGGAGAACTTTGTTCGTGGTTGTGTGCAGACAAGAGTTGGTGAGCGTGAGTTAGTGGCGAGTGACAAAGAGCGAGAGAGATAAGAAGAGGGATAAGGAGGAGGACGAGCGACCCCTGAGAACAAGCCACCAAGAGCCCAATATTGTAAGGCCGCCCATCCGCATTCAATTGTTTTTCTTTGTACCGTAAAGTGCCGCAGGGAAAGTCGCCTCGCGGGTGTTGCGTGTAGTGCAGTCCTCTCCATCTTCGCTCGGAGGCCGCTCGAGAGGCCAGCCACCCTACCAGCGAACACCGCGGGTCCGCAGCGGCTCAGTTGTCGGGAAAGCCGAATAAATTTTATATCGTGAGGCGTTACTGTAGAGCACCTTTATCTTGCCCGGTTGTCGTAAAAGCCGATTAAATGGCGTGCAATACATTATCGAAGCCGCTAGATTTTTTTTATTTTTGCTGCTGATCCCGGCGTGACCATACGAGCAACCCCGCCTCCGACTTCACCCATCCCGGAACTACCGGTCCCGTTCGGAACGAACTCGGGTCGCGGGTATGAAGCGCGAACGACTTTGTCGACCGCGTAGGCTGTTGTTTAGTGGGTGCGACTTGTGCGCACCTGGCGCCCATTCGATTTGAGAGGAGGTCATTGGAGACCCGAATTCGATCTCGCGTACCGGGTTCGCGCTTCGGTTTTTGCGCCGGCGATTCGGACGAACCGAATCCAGAAATCCGGTCGCAACATATAGGGTCGAGCGCAGACTTAAGATTACGTAGATAACACATTGCCACAAAATGAAAAAGGGGTGGAACATTACGGAGCTCAGCCTATCTTTATGTTTTTCGGGTCGCAGATCACGATGCCGGTGTGCGTTTGTCCCCGGCACGTCTGTGTCAAGGTCAAATGAAGGTCAAACACCTTAGATGGGGTTGTACAATTTTTTTGACCCCGGATTCTGAAAGAGCAGAAAATTCTACGTCCGAATATGCTTTGAACTTCTGGCCAAAGGACCTCCGGAGGTCCTTCAGGGGTTATCCGTAAAACCTTTTCGTGCCTGCCCCCAGGGCACCTCCATGCGGTGACGGCGGGCAACGGGTCACCGGCGAATGAATCAGCTCTCATTCCCATTGAAATCATCAAAAAGGCTGTTGGTACTTTCTACCATCTATTAGGTTACTATCAAGAAGTAATCGGAGAACAATTCGAGCATTTGCGTTAAATACAGTGACCAAATGTTTATCAATGCACGTGAGAGGCAAGGGGACTCACGATAATAAAGCACCCCAACGTGAGAGGCAAGGGGACTCACGTAAATCCAGCACCCCATCGTGAGAGGCAAAGGGACTCACGTTAAGTAAGCACCCCAAAGAAAACAGTCCTTACTATGTCCCCGCCGTTGTTCCTGGGTAACGCTAAAAGTAAAAGTATGAAAACTTCCGCTCTTTCAATTGCCGACGACAAATGAGGAGACTTTTAGAAAAAAATATTTGACCTTGAAATAACCTTGAAGGACACCAACAAGGTCGAGTTTGAGGTCACCACTAATTGCAATTAAAGAAAATAACTAAAGTTAGCTATTTTCATCAACTGCGTTTTTTGAAGATATCCAGTCCTCAAAATTAAATAATCTTTGAATGACCTTCAAAGTCATCTACGATTTATGGCCTTATAATATTTTTGGACGTAAAACTTCTCGCTCTTTCGATTTCTGACGTCAAAAAAGAGGGTTTCCATTAAAAAAAATTGAGCTGACTTTGAAATAACTTTCAAGGTCATTGTCAAGGTCAAATCCAAGGTCACCATTGAATTTCTCGTCAAAAGTTATTACAAGAGTGACCTTAACATTTTTCAAAAATAATTTACCTGGGAAATTATTCAGGTGTTTCCAGACTTTTTGGACACCCTGTATACAGGGTGACCCATTTTAATCTAACCACTCAAATAACTCAGTGGGAATAACCCAAATAAAAAAAAGTTTCGGTTTAAAAATTTCCTATTTTTTGGGGAGAAATTGAATGGTGAGCTTGAATTTGACCTTGATGTCGATTTTCAAAGTCATTTCAAGGTCAACTTCATTTTTTTAAATAGGAATCCCTATTTTTGACCCCAGATTCTGATAGTGCTTGAAATTCTGCGTTCAACCATATGAATTTTAATAGGGGTCAAATGTCATTTCAAGGTCATTTCAAGGTCAAAACGTCAAAATAACAGCGTTTTTAAGGTTTTTTAAGGTAAAGTATATTTTTCAGCCATATGCGTTATGCTAAAGGTCAAAGGTCATTTCACGGTCAAATAGTTGAAAAACTCCATTTTTAAGGTTTTTTATTTAATTCTAGCTTCAGGTTGTGTGACATTTAAGATTTATCAATCTTAGTTTGAAAAAAAATTAGTCGTGACCTTAAACTTCACTTTGGAGCCAAAGTCGAAATTACTTCGAAGTCAAAGGTCAAAATAATGAATGTGAATCATGGAGAAAAGTGTTTACCTTGGATCTTGATTCTGATGGTTACTTTGACCTTTCGATTCAAAGGTCAAGGTCATTTCAAATTCAAAAAGTAAAAGAAAAAATTATAAATAAATGCTGATTATAAACATAATTTTGACTTCAATTGACGATATTGCATGGTGAAAATTTTTCTCCTGTCAGCGTTCCCCAGGAATAACGACTTTAACGTGGCAGAACTTTGTTTCCATCAGGGTGCTTGTTTATCGTGAGTCCGCTATTGAAATCAGCGATTTCAGCATTTAATTTACTGCAACTAACATTATTTCAGAAATTTTAAATTTAAGTTAAAATTTGCGCCCTCTGCATTTAATTTACTGTAACTAACATTATTTCAGAAATTTTAAATCTAAGTTAAAATTTTTTAATATCAGTTTTATTAAAGTACAGAAAAAACGAAGTAAAATAGTGCTCTCTAGGACTAATATTATCATTATGGCTGATTATTCTGCTAATCACATTATTGATATGGTGATAGTTTTAGGCGAATGCCAGAACAATTACCGGGCAGCAGCACGGTGGTACGCTGAACGATTTCCTTTAAGGCGTCATCTTAGTCATGTGACGATACGTGCGTTAACTATTAGAGCTCGTGGTGGACACCTTAACCGTCAGCGCAGACGTCACGAATACGATGAAAATAATGCTCGCGTTTTGAAAGTCTTAGCAGTTGTACATCTTGATCGTCAAATCAGCAGTCGCACAATTGAAAGGGAAATCGGTATTCCACGAAATACTGCTTTAAGAATTCTTAGAAATTTAAGATACCATGCATATCACATAACTTTGGTTCAAGAATTAGGGCCAAACCATATTCAAATGCGAATTGAATTTTGCCACTGGGCTTTAGCAAGGATACAACAAGATCAAGACTTTTTCAGGTATGTGCTTTTTTCTGATGAGGCTAAATTTTACAGTGATGGACAACTTAATAGGCATAATTGCCACTATTGTTCAGATGAAAATCCGCACTGGTACAGAGCTGTAGATCATCAGAATAGATGGAGCCTTATGGTGTGGTGTGGCATAATAAATGGCTACTTAGTTGGACCTTATTTTTTCGAGGGTAATGTTAATAGAAACAGTTATTTAGAATTGCTTCGAGATCGATTGACAGGGCTGTTTGAAAATGTTTATTTAGCAACCAGAATAATAATGTGGTGGCAACAAGATGGTGCAGGACCTCACTTTGCACTAATTGTTCGTCAGTTTTTAAATAACCATTTTAATGCAAGATGGATCGGACGAGGAAGTCCAGTTAACTGGCCACCTCGCTCACCAGATTTAACTTCTGATTTTTATTTATGGGGTTACATTAAAAACGCAGTATTTTCACAACAGCCCACAACTAGAGCAGACATGGAAAACCGTATTCGTCAAGCTTGTAAAACTATTTCAAGAGAAACTTTATTAAGAACTGTGCCAAATTTTCATAAACGACTGAATTTGTGCCTTGAAGCTAATGGTGGTAATTTTGAACACTTACTTCGTGCTTAACAATTATAAAGGTAACAAAAAGTGAGTGGCAAGGGAACTCACGCTAAACAAGCATCCCATCGACTATTTGACCGTGAAATAACCTTTGACCCTTAGCATGACGCATATGGCTGAAAAATATATTTTACCTTAAAAAACCTTAAAAACGCTGTTATTTTGACGTTTTGACCTTGAAATAATCTTGAAATGACATTTGACCCCTATTAAAATTCATATGGTTGAACGCAGAATTTCAAGCACTATCAGAATCTGGGGTCAAAAATAGGGGTTCCTATTTTAAAAAATGAAGTTGACCTTGAAATAACTTTGAAAATCGACTTCAAGGTCAAATTCAAGGTCACCATTCAATTTCCCCCAAAAATAGAAAACTTTTGTCCCTAAACTTTTTTGATTTGGGTCATTACCAGTAAGTTATTTGACTGGTTAGCTTAAAATGGGCCACCCTGTATGAGGACAAGGATGGTGTTTGTCAACATTTAGCAGAGAAGAACAAGATATTTCTCTGTTTTTGTCGCAGAAGTCCAGGGTGTTTGTTGGTTTCCAGCACGGAAGCGGCAAAGGTGGATTTTCCCTCCACCGAAAATCTGAGTTTAACGATTGCGCGGATTAGGATGAAGATTGATATCATTCGGTATAAAGAAGAGTTTGCAGTGATGAAGGACAGCAATTTTGAAGGAATAATGGACGTAGATGTCGACGAAGATTCTTACAGATGATATCAATTATATCAGAGACGCTAGTGGCCAATTTATAGAAGAGTTTTATAAAGTAATAGCAAATTCAGATATCAATGCACTCAATGTACAGACCAAAATGTGTTGCCTTTATTCTTATTACTTTACAGGAAATAGTTTAACGTTATGCGTTTCGTGTATGCTTAGAGTGACAGACTTGTTCAACCGTATGTAAATCATTCGGAAACATCTGACTAAAAATCACGATGCGATAGATGGTATGTATTACTCCGATTGCAGAGATTGGCTATTTCAAATAATGTCATGCAATATATGTGCCCCATACGCGCAAAGTAAATGTTTTAATTAGTGGATTTGCGACGACGCATTCCCCCGGCAAACAACGCGACCGACCGACCATCCGTCGGTCGCAGAAACGGCGCTACGCGCCAACAAATGAACACACGCTCGAAGCACGCAAACGACACGTGCACACGTCAACAATAACATTTGTTATTGTTGTTAAGCACGTGTCGGAAAAACCGCGTTTCTCGCGGTATAAAAGACCGCTCCACCGTGCTATCGAGACCAGACTCCGCCGGAGTCAGCCGAGATCGCAAGATCAGAAGCTGCTCCGGATCTCATTCCCAGGTCGAGGGACCGCGACGGTGCGTACGCCATCGCTGCTGTGAGTTCGCAGCCGACTCGACAATCCTGTCATCCGGAAAGTCCGAGGTCGTGCGTACGCGGTTTCTCCCGTGGAAGTCGCGGGCACCGGACTCACAACAACATCCATTTCGAGACGGTGTGATCGCCGTCTCCACCGGGAGCTCCCGTCCCTCTTGCTCGCGGCGGACTTGGGGATTGGCACGAGTTGGGGTGGTGTGTTCGCCGCCTCTGCGGAGTGTTCTCCATGTCGGCCCCTCTACTCTAGCCGTTGGGCTCTGCGCCTCCGGGGTATGCGAACGCCTCGGAATACTGTTCCGCGTACCGCGCCGTATCCTTAGAGACAACGCGTGTCTCTCCGCCGCACCTCACCGGAGGTGCCACGACCGCGCTGTGAACCGCGAACCGACCGACCGCCGGCTGCACTTCGGCTAGTCTCGCCCGGCTGACTCTACTGTTTCTGTAAAGAGGCACGATACCGCGTGTCCTCCGCACCGGGAGTCGACCGACACTCCGCGTGCAGCAATCACCGAACCGCGTACCGTAAACCGAACCGCGAACCGCGTACCGCGACGCCGAGTCAAGCAGGTGCATTCCGCCGTTGCACTCCGATGCGAGACCGTCGAATTTAAAGCCGCGAAACTTCAACACGCCGAACCGTCAACACCGCGCCCCCTCTCCGCTAACGCCGCGGAATCCTCGCTGTGAGCAACACAGCTGCTCTAGATCCGTTCCGGGAACACCGATCCGCCGAAACACCGAGCGAACCGTCAATACACGGCCGAAAGATAAATACGAGATTCCGTCACCGGCACTGTCACCGTAATATTTACCGGCGTTAAAAGGCGAACAGCAAGCACTTGTCACGAGTATAATGTATGCTTAAACATCTTGGCATTAGAATAAACCAACTATATTCAATCTTCGCTCACTCACTTTATTTGCTCACTCACTCGCTCGTCCACACACGCACACACACACACACACACCATCACACAAGGACGCCTGGAGATCCGGCGAGCTACGCCAGGGCCACCGACACCGAAACACGGTCAACCGAATGACACCGGAAACGACCATCCCACCAGCCGGGGCAGGATGAACGTCCACCGACTGACGGGGTCCGGGTCACAAATTGATAGAATATTTCGAAGAACGCAGTGGAAAAATGGAAGAACTCGCGCGAATTAAACGCGAACTGTAGGGCCAACGTGCTCGATTGAATTCGCGAGACGATTACAGTTGTTGCGCGATCGAGTCGTCGCGAGTAACGTGGGGGTGCCCTGCACGTTGGAGCGGTAGGAGGCGGTGACGAATAAACTATCTTGTTGTAGAAGAAACTGAACTTGTCTTTATTACGTATTCGCCCGATACAATATTATGTACGCAACCGACAGCGTGTCGGTACCCGAGATTTGAGAGTTTAGAGTCGCCCCCGCGCCGGAGTCACGTCCACTTGTATCCTTTTCTTATGTCTCAATAAGAGGGGATGGTTTTGATGTGCCAGCGTCACCTGAACGAGGACGCTGACCATGCTGATTTCGATATTTCTATTGCAAGAATGCCAGGTTGCATTTCCGCATAGCGACGTATGGTAATTCGGGCCGCGGTTTCGTTTATGGTCATCGACATACTTCATTGTTGCGCTTACAACATCTCTCCCCCGTTAGGGAAAGAAAATAGTGGGACGATGTTTTCGTTTACAATAGTTTTTTTCCCGTGACAATATTTTATTATAAACGTTTGTTTTCAACTATTACTATTAGGTGTACAACGTTGCTCTCGCCGTTTTTTTTAAATTTGAGGCTTTATTGTAAAAAAATGGAGATAAATTTATGACTCAAAGTATTGTCCATCACTGTCCACTACTTTCTCCCATCTATTGGGCAATGCACGAATCCCGCGTCAAAAAAACTGGTCATCTTTTGAGGTAATCCACGAATCTATCCATTTTCCGACTTCTTCATAAGACTGGAAGTGTTGGTCAGCCAGGCCGTGTTCCATTGATCGGAACAAGTGATAATCCGAAGGTGCAACGTCTGGAGAGTACGGCGGGTGGAGTAGGACTTCCCATTTCAACGTTTTCAAGTATGTCTTAACCACTTTTGCAACATGGGGTCGAGCATTGTCATGCTGCAAAATCACTTTCTCGTGTCTCTCGGCGTAATGCGGCCGCTTGTCTTTCAATGCTCGGTTCAAACGCATCAATTGAGTTCGATACCGATCGCCTGTGATTGTTTCAGTTGGTTTTAATAGCTCGTAATACACTACGCCGAGCTGATCCCACCAAATACAGAGCATTACCTTGGAGCCATGAATGTTCGGTTTGGCCGTCGATGTGGAAGCATGGCCGGGAACTCCCCATGATTTTCTGCGCTTGGAGTTATTGTAATGAACACATTTTTCATCTCCAGTCACAATGCGATGCAGAAATCCTTTTCGTCTTTGCCTCTCAAGCAGCTGTTTACAAGCAAACGAACGCCGTTCAACATCTCTTGGCTTCAACTCGTACGGCACCCAATACCCTTGCTTTTGAATCATTCCCATGACTTTGAGGCGCTTCGAAATGGCTTGTTGAGTCACTTCCAATGATTGTGCCAGTTCTTTCTGAGTTTGACACGAGTCTTCATCAAGTAATGCTTTCAATTCAGCATCTTCAAAAATCTTTCCTCTTCCACCGCTATGCTGATTTTCGACGTGAAAATCACCGTTCGTGAAGCGTTGAAACCACTCACGACACGTTCTTTCAATAATAGCGATCTCACCATAGATATTTGAGAGCATTTGATAAGCCTGAGCCGCAGATTTCTTCATATTGAAGCAGAAAAGTAAAACCTCCCGCAAATGACGAGAATTCGGCTCGTAAACTGACATCGTCAATCGACGATAACTTTATAGTACAAATATAAATCGATTATTGTAACTATTAGGTTATGTTGACAGATGCCCAATTTGATTGTATGACGTTTATGATCTATTTACTTTGAGCACTAAGTTCCACTAAAGCCATGTATAGGGAAACGGCGGGAGCAAAGTTGTTCACCTAATAATTCATTGCATCATCTTTTTAATTAATTGACTAAGAATAGTTAGAAAATAAAAATTGAGAAAACAACGATTAGATATTGTTATCAAAAATTCTAATCATTTAAAATGACGATTTTTGTAATCATATGATTCACCATATGTGCACCAGGTGTCATTCAAAGTAAATGTTTCAACTATTTTCCGGGGAACACGGCTAGTCAGAAAATTTTGATTTAAAATTTTTTGAGTTACGTGGGCCCCATTACGTTAAAAAATTTGAAATTCATGTTTCTCAATATTTTTTCAGGCTCATTATGGGTTAAAACGGAGTAAATTAAATTTTAAATTCAATAAATTTCACACATAATGATGTAATGTTGAAGAACACTCCATAAAATAATGCTAGAACAAGAACGGAAAATGGAGACCGTGATCGATAATTCCAACAGAAGTCAGTCTGAATTTTACAACGAATTACAGCGCGACATAATTGAACGTCACCCCTCAAGTTCACATGTTGATGAAAAATCCAAGAGAAATCATATTGAAGTCAAATCGAAAATATGTGAAAATCAATGTTCAATTTAATATTTATGAAACTTTATCACGATATTTAGAAGATATTGCATAGATGTTGACGATTTAGTCGTTATCTAATTTATATTATATCCACATCAAGTCAATACATATATATATAACAATTTAACTTGAATATAATACCGACTAGGTAACGACTAGATTGTTGATAATTGGTCGATACTTATATAATAATAATATATAATATTTTCTACATATCGAATAGATAACTAGATACCTGTACAGCGTGCGCTATTAGAATATCTATTTATCTATCTATTAGAATTTGGAAAAATTGAATTTGAAATTTCCGTTAGAATTCAGCTGTTAGTGTCACTTGGCGCTAAGATAGACCAAATACATGGGTAAGACGTTTATAACCCCGAAATGGCCGAGTTGATCGGGCTAAGCCTGGAATATAACCGCAGATTATTGAAATTGACGGCGATTATTGAAAGTCTTTACGTCGAAAGGACGCCAAACGAAATAATAAGATTCCTCAGATACTCTAGGTTGACGTAGCATGATATTATCTAGAAACGCGGCTTCACAGGAGTTTGAGGAGAGCTTCTCCACCTTGGCGAGGAATATCCAAAGAAAAAGGCAACAAGGATACCGGAATTCATTCAAAGAGCTCAAAAGGCGGAAACGGTTACGCAAGAGGTCTATTTGGAGATCTTGAGAATAGTGGTAAAGCCTTGGATGGAGGCCATGGCTTGAGGGAGGCTGCGTATCTTCCAGCAAGTCAGCGCACTCGCTTACATAAATCATTTGGTACAAAAGTGGCTCTCTGACAACGTCGACATGTCGAAGGTCCAACGACTTCTGACCTCCCAATAATTTCGACCTGAACTTTCTTGATTACTACTTTATTACGTATAAGGTGTAGTCAAGAGAGTTACCGACAAGTCTAGGTATCCCAATGTAGCCTTCCTCCGGACCTCTATTGAAACGGAGTTTGCGACCATAAACCGGGTCCAGTTAAAGACAGTATGCTCGCGCTTTAAGACCAGGATCGAGGCGGTATTTGAGGCACAGGACGGCTGTATTTAGTGAGAAGATTCAAGAAAGATCTCTTAAGATCAATATTAAAGCATTTCCTTATATCTCTAATAAATCCTTATTCCCTTACATCTCTAATAATTGCCTCTAATAAACGACTTTTCTGATAAAACATTTTCATGTCCAGATTCTAACGGCGCACCCTGTACAGTGATGATATTACCCACTTCGCTGTAAGGCAAAAAACAATCTTTCGTGTCAAAATTGTGGAAAAAAAGTTTTCAAAATTGTATAAAAATTTTAATATGAAGATTTTTAAGGTCGCTGAATATGAATCTAATATATTTTCAAAATTCAAGATGCCGGATTCAATAATTAGTCGAAAATTCAATTTCAGATTCAATTTCTAAAACTTAAAAAATAATAAGATAGTTAAAAGTAATATCTCATATGCAAATGCTGCAGTGTAAGTATTGACAGGGTCTGCCAAAAGTTCCGGAACGGCTAATTATTATAAAAAAATAATCATTAAAAAAAAATGTTTAGAAAAAAGTTGTAGGTTTTTAAAAAAGCTGTCACACATTGATAATTGTTTGGACTTAGAATGACCTTGAAAAGCGTTATTAAGGTCAATATAAAAATCTTAAAACCCCCTATTTATCGTTAAATATTCTTATACCTGATGTTGAGACTTATCCGAAACGTTGTTCGTACCGCACACGACCTCTCGCTGCGTGCTCAGAAAATCGCTGGCCGATATGCACTTATATTCACGAACTAATTACACACATTTTCTCCATAAGAACTTTCCGAATTATGCGACTTAAAAGATGCGATACTGCAGGCATTAACATTACCCAAAGTGTACCGCATAAAGGTTGCACGGTCGAATTTAAATCTCTTTTGTTTGTGTGTGTGTGTGTGTGCGTGTGTGTGTGTGTGTGTGTGTGTGTGCACGCGTTTATTATTATCGTGGACGCAATCTCGCGCTATGTCAAATTTTGTGGTAACTAAGCAGCTTTTGCGGGAGGATTCATTTTTCTGCTTTAATTGAAAGAAAAGTGCAGCTAAAGCGCATCGAATGCTTGTAGAAGTTTATTGTGACAATATTCCAACTGATAAATCATGTAGGGAATGGTTTCGACGTTTCAAGAATGTCGATTTTAGCGTTGAAAGCAAGCCTCGCTCTGAACAGCCAAATGAATTTGAAGACAAAGAATTGGAGGCATTACTCGATGAAGATCCGAGGCAAATGCAAGAAGAGCTTGCATAATCATTGGGAGTTCCGCAACAAGCCGTTTTCGTACGAATGAAAT